TTCACTTTCTAAACTAGAAGGTGTTATTTATGTCTTCTGCCATTGTATCCCATACTGTGCTCTTTATCTCTCAATAATCTGGCTATTAACAGAATTTTGACTTTTTTTTCTCTCCATGAAGAGAGAAGCTTAAAATGGAATTAATACTAAAGAAAGAATGAAAAGGTCAAGCAGGTTTCAGGTTTGGTATTCAGATACAGATATCACTAAGTCCAATTAGAAAAGAGCAAAAAGTCCATTACTGTCTCAGTTTTGTGAAATAGAAGAACAATATTTCAGTCCAATCATCAGTCAGTGAACATGCATCTCTTTTGAAGTGACCACCAAAAAAAATCCAGTAAAGTTGACATTCTAACATACATTTATTGGCCTGAACTTTTTTTGAAGCTGAACCACCCTTCTGCCAGGTGTCAGCTGGAGAAGGTATGCAAGAGAAATGACTGTTTTCTGCTTTCTGTGGGTTTAAAACGATTCTTTCATCTGAAGGTGATCTAATGCCTTTCACTGGCATCAAAATCACCTTAAACAAAAACATGTCCCTTTTTTTTAAGAATATGCTGTGTGTACAATGTGCTCTTCCAGAGAGATGAAGTATTAGCATTTGAAAGGACGGATGAGAATGCGTATTTTGGAAAGACCTTTGTTCAGAGAATTACCTCTATATTCTATGTGCATATCACCATGGTAATTGAAATATTTGCCACTGATGAGAAGGTATACACCACAAGCCTTTTGCCATTTCCCATGATGTGGTTTCTAGCAAAGAGTGCTATTTGTCAGTTTAAAATTTATGGTAGGATATTTAGCAGTTGTGCCTACTGTCATAGAGATGGATGTGGTTTGAAAGCATGAAACAAAAAGGAACAGGTAATGACATCTTCTTCTTGCAGTTTAATATTCTTCCCCATTTCCACTTAAAATGTGAGCCGTTCTGGAACTGCTGGAGCCACAAAGCAAAACCAAAGCTGTGCTCTCTTCGTGGCTTTGTCAATTAGGATGCTGGTAACATGAAACAGTTTATTCCTTTCTTCCCGTCATCGCTGCTTTTGGGACATTGTTGCAAACAAAACAAGCCTGTCTCTTCCCTGAGGTCATTTCGTGCATGTGAACTCTGTGAAGGGTGTAGCAGCCACTGAGTACTGTGTGAAAGTTTATGTAAGGGAATTACATGATGAATCTTATGAAGGCATATAGGATACACATTTGCTCAACAGGGATATCCTTGAGGAACCTCATTAAACATGACTCACTTAACAGAGAGAAAAAAATCTCAAATGCTTGCACTCACTACCGTGTGTGTACATCTTTCATTTGAAATAGTATTCTGTAGGAAAAGGTGCAGTATAGGTATCATGGTCAGTAGTACTGCTTAGTGAACTGCTCAGGATACAAAAGGGATGGTACTCTTTTTCACTCTGTCATGCTGTGGCAGATTGTCATCTCTAGTTTTCTGTTCCTCAAAGTAAATCCAGCTCTCTAGAAAAATGTCTGGTTTTGTGTTGTCCTCGCCACTTAAGAACAGGGGTCACCTCCATACAGAACTCTCCATGTTTCTGTGCTTTATTTAAGGCACAGATGGAAAGTAGAACACAGTTAAAAGGTAATGGGGTTTCCTACTCAGTGCTGCCCCTTTTATCTCCCTCTTCCAGTAGAGGATGGAGAAAATTTCATTCTTGTTATGGTATTGCATGTGGAAGAGATAAGTGCCAATGCCAGGCATTATTCTTTATGCAACATTTTGGTTACCAAATGACCCTGTTGTCCGTCTTATGTAATGCCTGAGACAGCTTCGGTAGAATGCTGAAGTGTGTTGCTGTTGGTAGCTTCTGGGATCAGCTTTCCAGCCAAGTTGCATTTAAAGCATCCTTCAGTGATCTTCCATGCAGGGAAAGCTAAGACACGTGTATTAATTTTTGATGCCTACCACACCCTTTCATTCTAGCCTAGGTACCATGGTGAGGTTGTTTTCATATTGATTTTATTAGACTAGTGGCAGACTAAGACCCCTTCATTTCTTATTCTGCTTAGGTATCAGGCTGAAATACCCAAACAAATACACTGACCTTCATATGGACCCACACAGTGACTCTGACCTGGCAGGGACCAGCTCCCTAGCACGTCAAGACAGCTGAGTGCCGATTCCTGAAAATCATGAGGCAAAGCTCTTTCCTCCAAAACTCATATGAAAGAGCATTAGGCATTATTTCACTGCAGTGTTTGCCCACAGTCTGTATCCTGTTTCCTCCTGTGGCATCAGGATAAACCCCTGTCTCCCTTCTCCCTTGGAGCAGTGCTCCGCTGTGCTCACTGCGCTTCATTACCTGCAAGCCGCAGGCTGGTGCAGAGGAGACTTGTGGCACTGAGATCAGCTGGAGCCTAATTGGAGAGGAGTCCGCGTGACTGCAGCCGCACGGACTGGTCTGCCGCTGCACTCTAGGTACATAAAGCCCATAAAGCCCACTGGGCTCACTCTTCAGCTGCTACAGTTTTTTTCCTCTTTTTTTTCTTATTTTTTTTTTAATCCCATTAAGCTGCTGCTGCTGCAGGTTTTGGCCTCAAAATTTCATTTCTCAGGATAGAGAGCCACTGCTTCTGTATCGTCAGGCTGCAGCATGACATGCAGCAGAGATTTCATTATGCATAAGCAGAGCCATCACTAAGGTAGGCAAACACTCTGGCTCTGCAGAACAAAAGGGAAGTGAGAAACGGAATGAGCAAAGGTATTATTCGCTGACAATAATTGTTTCCAGTTGCAGCTGATGGCAGGGATTAATCACAGTGTCTTAATACTTTATTTGGGAGCAGAGGAAATATTAAGGGAGGGAAGAGCTGAGAAGTGCTTTTCCAAATCTCCCTTGAAAAGTTAGTAAATAGTTCTCTGGAAACGATGCTTAAGGTTTTGAAACTTGCAGTGTGTCTTTTATTGAAATGGCTTTGAACCCTTATACTCCTTCTTTCTAATTAGCAACTGAGATGCAAATAAACCTAGCTAAAAGGTGGGAGAAAAACATAGCATACAATTTAGCATGCATGTTATGTGGAGTTATGTATATTAGTTGTTACAACTTCATTTTTTTCCTAAAAATAAATCTAGATTAATTACATATAATGCAATCCCCATTTTAGTTCTCTCACGCCAATGCTTAACTTCAGCTGCAGCTAGCAGAGCTCTAGTCCAGTGCTGTTGTCTGCAACCTCTGCCCTTTCCTGATTTAAATACATCCTAAAGCTACTGTTTTTCTATAACACCCACAAGAAACTATTGTGTCCTAGTCTGCCATATGTAATTTGTTATGGAATGAACCACTCTCTATCATGGAGGGAGGGGGGCACAGAAACACCTGAGTCAGGAGTAATTGTCACTTTCATTTAACCCAGGCCAGTGCTGTAGCCATGCCTACCACAGCTTACACCTACATTAAACAAACTTGGTTTTACATCACATTAAATAATGATAATGAATTTTCGGTCCTGGATATATTCCCAATATTTGCAAAACTTCAGGATTGAGCCTGTGACTGTACACCTTGTAAATAGATTTTCAGCCAAAGCAATTTACACATGTTTTTGATCAGGTGAATTCCTCTAGCACCTTTAAAAATTGAAATACTACCAGCTCTAAGGATATTTGCTAGCCTGATTTTGAAAATAATTTCTGTTGCACTCCAATGCATTATCCCTCTTTCTTACTCAAGTTTTTCACTGGCAATGCAGCTTCTGACCAAATCATTGTTATTCCATTTACTTGCTTCCCTGAGGTTTGTCCTCTTGGCTGCTTTGAAGAGGTGGAGCAGAGCAGAGCAACACCTTCCCCACAGTTACAGCTCCCCCTCTTTTCTCAAAGATTACTTTTCTGCAGCATTTAACCTGCACACAGGGAAAGCTCTTGGCTTTTAGCACTTAACTGCAGTCGGCTTAACACTTTATGAAATGCAGTTTGCCCTTTCAGGTGCTAGCCAGATTTAACTTGCTTTATCTTCAGAGCACACAAAAAAGGAGAAATGCTTTAATTAGAAGTAGCTTTTTTGTTGTAAACTGCCAGTGGGAGTAGGGTGAACTTCCCACCCTTGTTGGGTGGGACAAAATTAGTATCAAATAACAATTCTGAGGTTAAAATTACCTGTGTCTGTTCCTAGCAGGATTTGAGGTTGAAATTAATATCTTGAGAGTTGTCTTTCTGGGTGAACACATCTAACCTTAGATTTAATCAAATAATCATAGGCATAAATGTGGTTCTAACATGAAGCAATTTTCAGGAGAGAGATGACCCAAAGCTTGCAGGCTGCCTTTGTGTGCCATTAAATGCAGAGTTCTGCCAGTCTGGAAGCTTCTTCTGCCTGGTACTGTCTTGTTTCCCACTATTTTTCCCCTCAGATTCTCTCTCTTTCATTGAAGTGAGTGTTCACCTTTGAAAGAAGAAGCTGTGTGGGCTCCATTTAAGACTAAAAAGGATACCAAAACTGCCATTTAAATTCAGTAACACAGGCACTGCAATTACAGAGATGCCCTTGCAAAACTAGGGGCTCCTGCCTGCTTTTGATGGAGAGCAAGGAGGGCTTTTTTCACTCTTACTCAACCTAATTGTTTGTCCTGATTTTTCATTAACTTGTCTTTGCCTAGCCAGCAACTCTTAAATACTTTTCTTTCCCCCATCATTCCCTTTTCTCTATTCCTGTTCTCTGTTCTCCTTTGTCTCTTACTTTCCATGGCACAGGGCACGAATCCCTCCTCTGAGGGCTGTTTGCCGTGGTAAGAAGCTACCACACCACAATACAAATTGAGGTATGAGGTGGACTTCAGCAGAGCCCTCTGCCAAAATTAAAATTCAGCTCAGTCCCGCCTCTCCGAACTGTGTATCTTAGCATTAAGGTGATTTTCAAGCAACAAGGGCAAAATTAGATCGCAAATAAAAATGATCCAGAGGGTAAGTGTTTGGCCTCATGTATTTGCATTTGCAGGCAGATGTATTTATGAGTCCTCTTTCGGTTTGTGTTTTGTAGGACAAAGAAGGTCAGCCACTGCTACCGTATCATTTACCGGCACCCGGAGAGGACGCTAACGCAGGACGAGGTGCATCGCATCCATCAGGCTATTGAGGAGTCAGCAGTCCGGGAGCTTGGGGTGGAGGGCAGGTTCTAGCAGTGCTGCTCTGCAGCCATGAGGACAGTTGCTTTTTTCTTTCTATTTTTCTATTTTTTCCCCCTCTCTTTTTTCTTCTTTTTTCTTCTTTTTTTGGGGGGTAGTTTTAGGTCACAAGTAGAGAGATGGGTTTTGTGACTGAGCACAGAAAGCGATTGATGAATGGGCAATGGTAAAACTGGCAGATAATAAACATTACTACTGAGAAATCATTGATGGAGTGCTGGTGCTTTATTTTAAGAAATGGGGGAACAGCAGTAATATAAGATTTCCCTCCTGTTACGATAAGAAATACACTGCCTGGTGGTTTTCTGTGTTGTTAATTGGTCCCTGGGTTCCATTAAACTGTAAATACTTGGCATTATTTCTGTGTTGACAGGATCTTCTGTCCATGTAACAAGTGAAGCAAATCAGAGACACAGATTAGTTCAGGGAAGAAAAACCCATCCTGCCCCACCTCACCCTATCCCCAATCCCAGCTTTTTTTTTTTTTTTTAATAAGAGATGTCAGATTTTGCTTCAAGAAACCTTCCAAGAAGTACTTCTTGTGACTCTCTTACCTTCAGAGCCCATGGGTGTTGCTTTCATCAGCTACAGAGAAGGAGTCACTGTGGTTTGGGCCAGGCTGGGCGGTCTACAAATCCTGGGTCATTGGCAAGTTTTTCCTGTTAGATCCTCTTGTTCCCAAAAAGCTGAGCAGAGCTTAGTGAGGTGCTCCAAGCTCTGCTGCCTTCACCAGGGGAGGAGCTCCCTTGTCTCACTTTTCTTTGCATAGACACCAGTGCAAGATAAGTCTCCTCCCCTGTCACCATCAAAGTGTTGGTATCACCCATGGCAGGATGGCAGTAAATAGAAACTCTTCCCTACAATGCCCTGAAAAGCAGCTGCCTTGATCTCTCACAGTATCTTGCTATCTAGCTGCAGTGTCTGCTCAGAAATTTGACCTTTAAGGCAGGAAACCAAACTAAAATGGGATCTTCTGCTGTTTGAGGCTGCAGTTGCTTTACAGGATGCTTTCCTTTTTCATTGCAGGTTATAATAAGTAAATTCTGGTGGTAGTGTGGTGCTAGGGCTGGTAGAAATGTTCAAATGATCTGATAAATACTTGATGAGCCATTGCAGATGCTGATACGGAATGTGGGACCTGTTTTGGCTTGTGATAACATTTCATAGAGTCTTTCTTGCAGGTCACATCTGGTTCCTGTGCAGACAGAATTCCCTCCTTCAGAGAAGAAGGCGGTAAAAATGCTGCAATAAACAGCATCTAACACTGATTTATACCTTATCAAGAAACATCTGTGCAGCAGGTTTGTACTCAACCATACGAAGCCAGTTACTATTGCAGATGTGACAGAGAGCTCATTTTAATTTCATTACTCAACATATTTCGCTGTGTAAACAAATCCTAATCTAAATTGCTGTTGCGTTATCCAAATAACTTGATTATGAAAACAGTATGCTAGACTTTCTACAAGGCAAAAAGAATGGATGCCATTTAGGCATCAGAAAAACCTACGTGGTTATTTTTAAACCATCATCTACTAAAATCCATAAATACAGCCTAGCCCATTTGATGTTTCTCAGTCTCCTTAATCCTTCACCTTTTCAGAATTCTCAGTGATGACATGAGAAGGAGGAGGAGGAGGAGGAGGAGGAGGAGGAGAAAGAGGACTTCCCTGAACTGCACTGAGCAGTACTTGTTCCAAGACAGGGGATGATTGATGCTGTCACACAGGCCAGCAGATAATGTGGATCCTAATTGATGAAATTGTCTGTGGAGAGAGTTCCATAACCTGTGTGCTCTATGAAAGAACTAAGTCTCTTGGGAAAACAGGAGAACATCTGTGGTGAAGTATGTCACAAGATTTCCCTTTTAATTTATTGATTAGTGAGGTTTCCCTTTTCTACTCCCCAAATCTTTCAGTTCTTCTTTGATTCTGATCAGCCAGTTTTGAGGGCATAGAAATCTGGGAAAAACAAGGAGCTGAAAATAGGACATTGAGCCTTTTCCACTGCAGCCACAGGACTTCATGTCTGGCTTTGCAAGGCAGTTTGGATGTTCTGGGATCAGCCTAGAACAATCATTAACATCAGCTGTGTTTGACTCAATGATTTTAGAGCTCTTTTCCAAGCTAAACAATTCTGTAATTCTCTGTGTCTGAATTGCACTCCAGTGAGCACAGTAAGCAACAGCCAGGAAGCTGAACTGGTGGAGTAGTGTTGTCCTTTGAAACCTGAAAAGTTAATCTCACAAGCTAATAGGATAAGGGGGAAATGGGAAGCTTTCCCTGAAGGTGGCCTGACATCTTCTGGAGTACATGTTTTCATAGGAACAACTTTCAGGCCATAAGATTAAAAACCAAACAACCTCTTCAGGAGCAAGTGTGATTCAGTCATATGAAGGCCTGTAAAATCATATGGGCTGGCTGTGAGCATAATATAAATACTTGGCTATGTTTAGCTTAGCTAAGCCTTTGTCATATATGTTCTAGGATTAACCTACTCTGAAGACCTATTTTTCTGGCAAGGATTCACCACAAGCAGCAAAGCAGACCTCAGATCAGAAGGCATCAGTGTTCCTCTTTATGCTCCTGTCCTTGAGCAAATATGATCTTCCCTTCAAAGCTTCACCTTAATTTTACTGGGAAATTTGCTATGGATAGTAGTAAACTCTCAAACCATGTGATCCCTTGTGGGTGCCGACAGAGACCCCACTAGAATCCCAATGTTGTAAAAGCCATGGTTTATTTTATTGCTGGTCAGAGACACAGGATGCCAACAGGACCTCAGAGACTGGACTGATCCTGGTGGGAGTGTGGCTGAGGAAGGTCCTTGGGACAGTCAGTGACCAACTCTGACAAAGAAAGGGCTGTCCTCTGCTGTCACTTGGCTTTTCTCAAGACACATTTAGCACAAAGGTGGGTGAACTGGCTTGAAGACCAACAACAGTGTCACTGCCAAGGTAAGATCCTTTGTTGGTCTCTGCTACCCTATAATCTCTCTCATTAATATCCCCCAGCCTTGGATGAGCTCCAAGTCTAGTGAAGGGGGATGAGTTCCCAAATACAAAAGTGATACCATGCCATGTGGAAATATTAAGGGGAGCAGCATTTAAGTAATTAATCACCATGCTGGCTGACTAGTGAGAGGCACAATACACTGCTTCTTGTTTTTATCAGCTCCTTCTTTATGTTTTTGTGTGCCTTGTGGGTTTTATATCAGCATCCTTTAATAAAAGAGGGAAAAGTCAATTGTAGCAAAAGAAGCTACAGGAGTACTGGCTGGGCATCTGTGTGACTGAACAGTATGTACTGTTTGAATGTTGTGGGTGCTGGTTTTCTTCTTAGTTGCCGTTGGTTTTCAAGCTAACTGTGATTCCTGAAAGACCAGAGATTTAGTTTTAGTGCCCAGTTTGGGATCTTCCCAGTAAAAGGCAGCAGATTTATGGTGCACTAAGCCTTACCTTGTTCTGATGTTCTTTTTAAAGGTGCTGCAGTGGAAAGGTGATGTGATCTAGATAGGCAGGAAATGGCTCTGTGTTTTTATCCTTGAGACTGCAGTCACCTCTGCCATGGCATTGCCAGGTGTGATCAAACAGTCACAGAAATCTGAAATCAGTTTTCTACTGGGAATCCAAGCTATATTAGTAAACCACTGGTGATCATTATTGCCCTTCCGCTGGGAGTGTTACTGCTGTCCCTCTGCAGCTGGTGGCTGTACTGCAGCACTGAATTTGCTGACTTCTTACTCTTCACCTGTATTGAGTTTCTCAGCTACTGACATATTGGTCTCAGCCCTTGAATAATTTTGTGTAGGGATTAACTTTTTGTAAAAAAAATGGGAGAAAAAGTTGTGGGCTTTTCATGTGTTTGGCAGTTTTTATCTGCAGTGATTGGTGCATTTCACCTGTCCCAGGAAAACTCACAGTCAACACAGGACTCTTTGGTGGTTCATTGAAGAAAACACAGGGAGTCTTGCCCTGAAAAACAGAATTATGTCTGTCTCATTGAGTTCATATTTGGGCAAAACTAAAGAACCTTGTCTTCGTTGTGGGTTGACTGAAGGTTGACTGGTGTTCGTTGGTTAAGCCAGGCTCAGAAAGCACTCTGTGTTGCCACCCTCACCCCAAACACACACAAAAGCAGTTTTATGCACAAGGACATTCTGTCAGATTCAGTGTGTGCCTCTGAAATGATTGTGCTGGGTATTTCAGGCTTGCTAGTTGGTGAATATCTCCATCTGAATTGATATCATCTGGGAGAGAAAATGGCTTTGTATTTCAGCTCTGGAAAAAGTAGCCATATTTTTAAAGCTCAGAGCTTTCTTCAGCTACTGTCTGCTGTGTGTCATTGCTCAGAGATGACTGTTTCTGTAAAACAGTTTTGCTTTCTGTGTAGAACATGCTATATTGACTAATTACACACATCCTGATCAAATTTTAAGATATGTGAGCGTTGTCTCTGAAGGGCCACCAAAACTGAAGCAGTCTTGTGATGACCTTGAACAAATTTGCAGGGGGCACAAGAAACCAGCCATTGGTACTTGCTACCTGCTTTTAAATGTTGGTACAACCACATCAGAATATTAAGCTGAGTTATCTCAGAGGAGACAACTGCAGTTCAACACAGAGCATGGACATATGCTGGGTGAAGGCACTGACTTCCCCAGACTGTGTTGTATAAGGTTTGATCATCATTAACATCTGATGCACGCAAATGTTTGGCAGTTTTCGTGCTTTTGTGCTTTTGTCAGATGGCCTCTGTTATTCTGTCTATACCCACTGTTAACTAAGTAGAGTCTGGTTTAGTCGGCCTTTTTTACTTGGACTTCTGACACGATCTTGCTTTCTCATTTCAGTTTTGCTTACTTTCTCATACAGTTCTTGCTGTTGAAATTTGGTACAACTTTGGTGAAGACACAGTGCCAGGCTGCAGGCAGGGAGATTTATTATGCCACAGCCTAAAGCCTGTGCTCCTGCTCCACATTACTGCAGGGTCTCTCTGTCCTCACCCTCTGGATGCAGGTGATTAACACGTGGTCCAGGGAATTGCGCCTCTGCCTGCTCAGTAATTTGCTGGGCAGTGCTGCAGTCATCCAGAGCAGCTGCCACTCAAATGGGCAGTAGATTGTTCTCTTTTTGTTTTAGTGCCTGCAGCTTCACTGTGTGCCACAGCCAGACGTGCTGTGTTGATGTTTGCTGCAGCAAAGCATC